TCGGGGGTTCCACAGGGCTCCATACTCGGCCCTTTATTTTACACTATGTACACTGCTAACTTACCAAATTGCATAAATACATGCAAACATCACCTATATGCAGATGATACACAATTATATCTCTCATTTCCACCTTCTGACGTAGATCTTGCTTTAAATAAACTTACCAGAGATTTAAATAACTTATTTGAGACATCCACAAAATACTCCCTGATTATTAATCCGTCAAAATCTGTAGCGCTGGGGTTCGGAAAGGCTCACCACCGAAACAATGTTCAGCAGCAGATTTATCTAAATGTTGGCAATCACGTCATTCCAATAAAAACGGAACACAAGAACTTAGGACTAATCATGGATAGCGATCTTCGTTTTAAAAGTCATATAAATCTATGCATTCAGCGCGCTTTCAGCAGTCTAAAATCTTTGTGTATCCACAGATACAACTTTAACTTTGATACCAAAGTAAAATTAATGAATGTGCTAGTTCTATCTCATTTTAATTATGCAGATTGTGTGTATGGACCTTGCTTGGATGGAACCAGCAGGAAAAGACTACAACGAGTGCAAAATTCTTGTCTACGGTTCATTTTCGGCTTGAGAAAATTTGATCATGTCTCCCATAAGATGTCTGAAATAAAGTGGTTGAATATGGAAAATCGCCGTTCCCTTCACTTTTTGTATATGTGTCATCAAATCGTTTTAACTCATAAACCACAGTATCTTTATAATAAAATTACTTTCCGTACAGACGTACACCATCTCAATTTACGTAACAAAGGACTTATGACTATTCCAGCTCATAGGTATCATCTTTTCGAAGGGTGTTTTTCTTATCAAATTGCAAAACAATACAACTCGTTGCCAGCTTTTATCAAAAATCTTTCCTTGAAGCCTTTTAAAACACAAACGCGACTTTTACTTTATAGAAGTCAAATCCAATGTTAACCAGTTCTTTTAACACTTTAAGTTTTTTTTAATTGTGTTTCTACATTATTATTAGTTTCATTTTCACATTTTTTTAACGAACGCAGGTATACCGTTTTATTTAAAAGAAACATCACTCATTTCGCCATAAAAAAATGAAGTGTATATTGGGGTAAAGTGGAAGAGCAGACCAATTAGTCTGAACTTCACCCTTTCACTATTATATATTTGATATATCGTTACGCCTTATTTTTCATTTTTGTGTTGTTACTTTTGTATATAATATGTGAATAAAGGTCATTATTATTATTATTATTATTAAAAGTTTACGAACACCATAAAGGGAACAAAACCTTTTCCAATATGTCCCTATTTATTCGGTAGATCCTGGCCACTTCAAACGACACCACCCGTAGGCCTGCAAGGAATAGACTTAATGTTGATCGAAACGTTTTCTTATGCAGGATGAAAATTAATCCGTACCTTCTGTGATGTTCCCAATGGATAATCAGGCTCCTTTTCCCCAATACCACCATATAAAGATTCAGATGATGACGACCCCAAAGACATAGAGATAGCACGCATTCCCACGGGGACCTCACTGGAACAGCTGAAATATCCTCCAAATATAGCATCGACACAACCAAAGACACTAGAAAGTTTCTCGCCTTTTTGTAGAAGCGGATGGCACAAATTAACTTCTCTAACTCGTTTTACTGCAATCTCGGGTACCAAAAAAACTACCGCGTGGTTCCAAAAATCCACAAATCGACGGAGTTAAATGGCTGGATTAAAAAAATACTGTGGAAAAAAAATCGTAGCTTTAAAAAAACACAGAAAATGGTTTTATTAATAATTGCTGTATGACCAATTTGAACCGAGTTGTGGCTTGTTAAAGGTTAGCTCTTGTTCGTCAAACGCTAAATTAGAGAGTTTCATAGTCAAATATTGGCAAAACTATGCATTTTTCGAGAAAGGAATATTTTTTAAAGTATTTAAAAAAACCTTCCTTCTTTTTTAAAAACAAACTTCAATATAAAAGGTAAGTGAGTTACGATGAAAATAAGGTAGATCCGTACTTTTTCCAGCAAAAAAATCAGCGCAAGCAACCCTCTAATTGCCACCCTAAGTAAAATGAGCCCTTCCCCTTTTCCAGTTTTCTTTAATTACGTATTATTAATACCTTCTAAGTGTAGCCATGTTTAGAAAACTTAATTTTGAAATAATTGAAGTGAAACTACAAACAACACAACAAAGCAACTAGAGATACGTAAAAAATGCTACAGCATCCAATTGTAGCTTTTTTAATTCCAAACATTTTCCTCACCGGCAATTTTCTGTACGACAAAAATTAAGTGAGATATAGACGTTTAAACGTGCAATCATAGGCGAGCACTACCTTGTTTTAGCCCTTTAAGCTCACTCTAATTTTAAAATAATGGTTTTAAATGGAATTGATGTAAATTTTTTAATGCACTTTATGTCATAAAAAATAGAAGAGTTATAAACTGAACTGAACAACCATCGTCAATAGATAATAAAATATTAACTTTTTGAGGGTAAATATATTTTTTATTAAACCACAATATGGGTTTTGGCAAAAAGGAGTAGTTTTCACCCCTAAAAAAATGAAGAGCGCCTATCGGAATAATATAGATTTTGAAGTGGAGGGTAAGTTGAACTTAATCCCAAATTTTCATGCAAATCGATGCATTTTGAAAAAATTGCCAGGCTTTATACTATTTTAAGTTTCGTTTCCTGGGCTACTTGGGGCAGTTGATATTACTCAAGTGTTGCTCAAAATAAACAATAACAATACCATCACTTATATTATAAAATGGAATTATGCAATCCATTTCAGCTAACATTGCATTGTGCAATTTAACAAAACTTTTCAGCTAGTAATGTAATTTTTGCATATAATGACACTATCCTATGTTGTTTAATCAATTTAGATTCACTTTTTGGGTGAATAGTGGTGCTTATTACACTCACTCGTTTATGGATTTACTAATCTCCTTCTCTGTAATCTTTAAGAGTTGAGTTAATCTTGCAGAAGATTTAAATTGAGCGAGCAATGTCATTCTAATGTCACTAAAAAAATTGCAATTAATACTCAAGGCTTTGTTTGCTGCGTTGTGGGCCGAATATGCTTAGTTAGTCTGTAACAGTTAATAAAAACACAATTTGCACACAAAGGGCGAAATTAAACTCACGAACTATTTCCCTAATTGCTTGGTTAGCGTTAGGCAATAGGACAGTTGATTCCATAACATGCCGTTCGAAATAATCGATCATGTTGTTTTCTACGGATCGATGGCTTTCAGCTTGGGTATCGGGGTGTACTTCGGTTTTTGGAAGAAATCCCACACCTCCGATGGTTACCTCTTGGCCAATCGACAGATGAAGGTTATACCCATAACGATCTCAATGGTTGCGAGGTAACTCTAAATTATGCCGGGGGTCATAATTCTACTTCTGTTCAAGCTCAATTTCAGGGATAACGTTGCTTGGATACAGTGGCGAGGTTTACGTGTATGGAGCCAACATTGTATGGATGTGTCTCAGCTGTGTGGTGGCGAGCGTTATTGGGGGATGCATGTTCGTACCAGTTCTGACCAAATTAAAGTCTCCAAACGTTTTTAAATATTTCGAGTTAAGGTTTGATAGAAGAACTAAGATACTGGCGTCCTGTGCGTACACATTGTACGTTTTGTTCTTTAGTTCAGTTGTGGCATACGCACCGGCAATTGCATTTTCCCAAGGTGTTTCTTTGCCAAACAGTATTGGAATTAACATTATTATATTTCAGTAACTGCTGTGCACCCACAAATTGTGGCGTCCCTTGTTTGCGTTGTTTGTGTGTTCTACACGAGCGTTGGGGGATTTAGAGCAGTGGTGTGGACTGATGTGTTTCAGTTTTTTGGAATAATCGCGGGTGTTATCGTCGTAGCCGTGCTGGGAATAGCCTCCGTAGGCGGTGTGGGAGCTGTCATAGAAAAAGCATCAAACGGACATAGACTGAATTTTAAGTATTAATAACCTAGTCTATATCTAACCTCCGCTTTAAGTTTTAGCATAGATCCTACCCAAAGGGACGGATTTTGGCAAATGTTGCTTGGTAGTACGACGACATGGATTTTCATTCTATCTTTGCAACCTGGGACTGTACAAAAATATTTATCACTGTCGACATCTAAGAATGTGACAAGGTGAACATTGAAACAAATCACATTTTCTAATCGTATTATATAGAGTAATGGTTCTCCAATGCTTTGGGATCGCAACGATATCCTTCGTGAGTATTTTTATGGGACTCATTGTGTATGCAAAGTACGACGGCTGTGATCCTCTCACGACCGGTGAAGTTGCCCGCTCTGATCAAATTCTACCCTATTTCCTAGTAGATGTTGTTCGAGATATTCCTGGGTTGTCTGGTATTTTTATTGCGGGACTCTTTAGTGCCTCACTTAGGTAAAATACAAACAACTAAAAACATTTCTTTAGTAGTGTCATAGTACACTTTCTGCATCACTCAATACATTAGGAGCGACTGTATATGGAGACCTGATGTCCTTGCATGTCTTTCGAGGTATAATGAAGGACAAGGAAAGTTTGATTTTAAAATTGATAGTCGTGGGATCCGGTGGAATCTGTACGGCTTTGACCTGCGTTGTTCAGCATATGGGAGGCATTATACCGTTTGCAATGGTCATCGTGGGGCTGCTAAATGGCATATTTTGTGGATTATTTTCTCTAGGGATGATCTTCCCTAGAGCGAACTCAAAGGCAGGTACTGGGCAAAAAGCTGTAGATTTAAAAAGCTCTTATAGGGCGCTTTTTGTGGTGTCATTTCAACTTTTTTGGGAGTTGGTATAATAATCGCTGTAAACCAATGGTATACTTTACAAGGAGCAAGCAACTACTTTGCAAAACCAATGTCAGTAGCAAATTGCTCCGTATCTGTTAACGTCACCCTGTCCAGGTAAGGTCATCTGTGCTTCCTTGTATTTAAATCAATAAATTACAGAACACAGGCAGAATACGAGCCATTTGTACTTTTTCGGATCTCTTTGTGGTACAACCCGGTTATGGGTTTTTTAATGGTAATCGTGGTTGGCATGTTAGTCAGTTATTGTACTAAACCAGACGTCTATGATCCAAATCTTCTTAGTCCCATATACCGAAAGACTTGCACCAATCCAAAGCTTTCGCAAAAATACTCCGCCGGGATGAATAGCAATCATATAGGGACTTATAATTTTGAACGTAATTGTTAAAATATTAACATCCTGTAAAATTGAGTATATTAAAAGAAACTTTATCTGACACTTTGGACCTTTCCTCTCGGATTTTTAAGAAAAGAACAAGAATATCAATGCAACAATTAAAAGGGGACCTTAATCATAAATAGTGCTCGAAATAGTGTTAGCTAGAAAAAAAAAACGATTCTAGAGCGACGAAAATGGACGAACTTTTTAAAGGACCATATCGCATAGTAGAAGAAAAAGTGCTTAGTGTAAATAATAAAATGACAAAAGTGCATAAAAATAGAGTGAAACCATACTTTACTGAAAAACAGGAAAAGGAAATGTAAAACGATAGCTTAAGTACTTATGGTTTAAGTTTAATTATGAAATGCTAGAATTATATAACGCTTATTATGTACATATAATGCTAGGTAAATGTTATTAGACTAAGAAATTTATTTTAGGACATTATTTAAATTTCAACTATAATGTAGATCTAGGTTGTTAACATTTTAAATTCAAAAGAGAAAAAAATTTCTGTCCGAGACAAAAATTTTTTTTCCCGCCCAGGGGAGATGTGGTAAATAGACAATAATGTTCATAGGTTAACAAACCTCTAACTTGCATTTATACTTATACTTACACAATCAAACGGAAATGTATTTTTCTGTAATTGTTAACAAGTAAGTATTGATGAGTATGAATTAGATTGTTGGAAGGTAACGACCAAGACTAAGCTGCGTAAGCGGCGTTTATTCAACTTTAATTAAATAAATAGATATAGTTTAGTGTTTAGGAGATGTGACTTTTATTGTTGGGTATCTCCCAACATCACAACCTGGAAACAAACTATCAAAGGAAAGAGCAATTTTTACTTTCGATTTACATAACGTAACGGATCATTTTCAGCAATATTGTCGTTGTAAAATTCATTATAGCATCCGTAGACCAAACTATAAGAAGAATTTTTCATACAGTAATTATATTAAATTGGTATGATGAACCCCTTAGTTGCAAAAAACGTAATGCATCGCATACCGTGAAACTGAACTAAATGATTAAAAAATTCCAGTGCTAAGTATAGGAAGTTTATTGGAAACATTTCATATCAATTGCATATTCCGTAAAAAGCAACCAGGAAAAGCACTTGGAGGAGGGAACGTTACGTGCAACTCTGGTGAGATAACATTAACAAGCAGGTATTAGTAACTAGATCCATTACTAGGTTCAAAATTCACATAAAGTTGTTTCCTGTTTTACTTTTAACTACCCGAAAGCAGAAGGATTTGGAAAAACTAAATTGCTAATAAGTTAATTTAATTCCAGTACAGCTAAAAAAACAAGGCAAGTGTTACACTTCGCATTCATACAACTTGTACGTGTCTAGCGCGTGTTCTACAAATTGTTTTGTCAACTACACAGGGCAAATTTTATAACACGTACGCGTTTATTAGGGTCTGTCCTCTCCAAGCCTTCAAAATACTTTCCAACCCCAAATTCACACAATTAAGGGCTTTTATAAACTAAACAAGTAGCTTACGTCGCTAGTGTACATACGTTTTCAATAATTACAAACTAAATCCGCCGAAGAGGATGAGGGGATATTTTCCCGAAAGTTTGTTAGGTTTAGAACAGGAGTACACATGTAAATGCAAATTATACGCGTGCTTATTGCGGATGATTACATTTGAATACAGTTTCGGATGTATACGCGCTCGTACAATAAAACATTCTTTGTTTAAAACGGATTAAGATATATTGTTCGGCGGAAGCTGTTGAAGTGTTTAATCTGGTAAATTTACAGACGATTAACCTGCAATGATGTCTCCTAATTCTAAACTGATTTGTTCTTAGGATCTGGTTTAATCTTAGAGCGCAGCAGTGCATCTTGTTTGAATTTATCACGGTACAATTTTATCCCACGGAAATAATTGATTTCCAAGGATATTGTTGAATGTTTGGATCTGCTACTGGAAGTAACTAATAAGGATATTGTTTAATATTTGGAACCGAATGATTTTGTTTGGCGCATGATCCCTGTGGACTGCATTTATTATCATATGCTTAAAACGGAGAGCCTGGTACCTAATTTTGTGATCTTCTGTTACCCATTCATAGTTTCCATATCAAATGTGAAATTTGCGACGAAAGAGTTTAGTCAATTTTGTGCAGCCCTTCAGTGGTCTATTTGCTTGTTGCAGTTACCCCTACGCCATTTGCTGCAAGACATTGATGGCCACGCAAGAGGGTCTTAATTGTCCGACAATTCATCTAAATTAATAACGTGCTACTTATTGTGGTAATTATTCTGCACGAGCTGAAGTCCCTAATGAAATTCACCCACACAAATAATAGCACCCCTCCTCTACTTTATTTACTTTTTTACAAACACTAACATATGAAATTTATGGTTCATTGTACAAAAGCCGCCTTTAGATACATTGTCATTGTAATGGAGTATAATTGTAATTTACTGCTAGAGTGTGGAGTAAATTATTCGCGTTTCAGAAACTATCGCCGCATTTTTTCCCCAGCACTATGAGACTAAATCGTGTTTATTCGAAGGCTACATCGAAATAAGCCAGTGGATGCCATCGTGTTCACGTATGCGGAGCCGTCGTGGAAAATAGGTTAATTAGACAAATAAACGGCGTTCCAACAACTTTACGGGTTCTACAATGTGAAATTTACCACTTTTATAGAAAATGTAGATGGGCCTGGATTTCACGTTTAATGTCTGGCATGTTCCCCACCTTTTCCTAAACAACCTGGAAGAAAAATGATTTATGCTTGCAGTGTAACGGTGAAGTGCCTCTTGATATATTCTATTTCAGAAGATGAGCTAGTGATAATTATATTCTAAAAGTTGTAATTCTCCACATTGTTGCTGTTTAGCCCGGCGGTGTATTTTTGTGGTTATTTTCGATTGGTCCATATCTTACGGTATATGGGACTAAGAAGATTTGGATCATAGACGTCTGCTTTGGTACAACAACTGACTAACATGCCAACCAAGACTACCATTACAAAACCCATAAACGGGTTGTACCAAAAAGATATCCGAAAGAGTATAAATGGCTCCTACTCTACCTGTGTTCTGTAATTTATTGATTTAAATGTAAGTAGTTCACTCAATTTTACTATATGGTTACAAAAGGTCCGGTAGAAGATTTTATTTTTTCGACTTAAGTATTTAAATGGTAAAGACAGAGAAAAATCCAAGTTTTCCAACACGACTAACGTCGGGAGAAATTTCTGTGGACAAACATCTGCAAAAATTGCAGACTTTTTTCGGTTTTTCTAAAATAAGTCGCCAACGTTAATACTTGGGTAGTGTAGAAGAGTACCTTAAATTTGACATTTTATTTGGCCCCGTAACATGTATTAATAGTTTAGGAGATATACTAATTTAAAGTTTCGTGTTTTTAGTAATTTTTGAAAATACACTATCTTTTCCGTCCTTGAAATTTACACACATAGATAAGGTATACATATAGAAATAAATACCTAAATTTATTTATTTAATCCTTAAGTTGTTGCTTGAGTCTATTTTTTCAAAAATTCAGTAAAAACTCGAAACTTCAACTTGATGTATCTCCTAAAAACAATACACGAAATGTAATTTGTGATGCTTTACATTTGTCAACCTTATCCATAGTTTCCGTAGGTCTAATAACATTTCTCCCACTGCTGCTGCGATACGAAGTACCGACCCTCGTCCGTTTATTCAGGTTCAAATTCATGGTCAACCGTTCACTGCCTTGATCGACACCGGCTCCGCAAGTCCGGCGAAACATAAATAAGCCAAAAGTTTTCCGAACCAACCTGTTAATATTCATAGTTCGTATACAGCCCCGATCGATATCCTGAAAACCGAAATTAAGCACTTACATGGTTCTGGTCTCGGTTATGAAATGCTCCTAGGCATAGATTTTCTTTCCCGAACTGGCCTGCATTTTAACATGGAAGCCGACAATTTATTCCGTCTTGTTCCTGGAGTTACTTCCTGCTCGGGCGCCATTTGTAACGTCCGCTACGTTGACCCCTGGTATTGTTGATAATTTGGGCACGTCGAGCGGGTCTCGGGTAACAGCCAGTGGTAGACTCGGGTTGCTTAGACACAGTACAGCTGATACGGGGCGAAGAAAAATAGATTTGCTTGAAATTGAAATTTGTCCTCCATCAATTTGTGTGCCTGTGTAATTTGAATTACGTTTTGCAATATCACAAAAGAAATTGTTAAATAATAACATACACATACATAGAGATACACTGACACAAAAACTATCAATATACACAAACCGTCTAAAACGCTATAGGGAAACTGCAGATAGAAAGCGCCATAACACACAATTTAA